TGGCTGAGTGGCTTCCAGACCAAAACAGAACTATGTCTATCTGTATCCATCTACATCCGTCTCTGTTGATGTGCTCCTTAACAATGCTACAGTTCTCTTAAAGGGTCCTCACCTCCTGCACCACTCTGCTTGAACTTTTTCTGTACTTTATATCTGATATGAAGTAGGTGGAGTTTTTGCCTTTCCCTTGAGGGCGAAGTGTATTGAAGGATAATTTTATTTTTTTTATCCCCGCTCTCTTTGGAAGGATCTATATTAAAAAGGTTCAAAAGTTCCTGGAATACAGAGTTCCTACGGACCCTAAAATTGACAAGAAAATCATAAGAATGGAGCAGGAGAAAGCATTCAACATGCTGAAGAAGAATTTGATAGATGCTGGTGGTGTCCTCAGGTGAAACTTCTACTTCTTTCTTCATCTTGATAAATGAAGCAAAAAAAGACCAATAATTTGCTTGGCTTGCTTTATTTTTTTACTTAGTCACTTTATTAAGATTCTTGCATAATACCAATTAAAAAAAAACCCACAATGTCAGTAAGACTGTGGCTCTGGAGTATTTAGTTTGGTAAATGCGTTAAGCCCCAAGCTGTGGAACTTCAGCAGACATTTTAATGCAGGGAATACATAGAAATAGTTGTATTATTTGGGGAGGTGAGCTGGTTTATTTTGCACTGAAGGGTATGAGAGGGCCCTGAGCTCTGAAGGACAGTATCTTCCAACTCAAGGAAGTGAAAACTTAGTCACTCCAACGAGGTTGGTTGTGATTGTCAGATCATTTCCCCCAAGAGACTCATTTTTCTGCTTTTGCTTGAGAACTGTGTGTAGAAACTCTTTCCTTCTTGCCAGGTGGTATGTACAGTTACCCACTCAGCAAGCGCACCAATATCATGAAATGGAAACTTCCTGCCTCCCTTCTTCACCCTCCCATTTTTCGGTGTCTTCTCCTGAGAAGGAGGAGGAAGTTGTTAGAGATGAGAACTGTACTCTGCCTTCCCGACTTCATCCTCAAGTGGCAGACAAGATCCGGGAACTGGTGTCTCAGGGAATAGCACAGGTCTATGCAGTGAGGAAGCAGCTAAGGTACAAAACTGTCTGGCATGTTCTCAGTCTGTAGTGCTATATGTACTTTTGCATTTGATCTGCAACTTAATGCAGTGCTGATGCATTACTGAATATATTTCTCGTAAGCCATGAGAATCTCTTTTTCCCAGCTTTTGTCTTCTCTTTCCATTCTGTTGTAGGTAGCCACTAAGAGCTGCTGTCCACTTTAAAGTTAGTTGAATAAGTGGGGATTTTTAATTCCAAACTCTGTAGCAGATGCACAAAGAGCTGGGTCAGAAGATCTTCTGGCTTGCTCTTGTCTTGCCTTTGCAACAAGGGGAGGGAGAAGGTAGCTGTGTCTATCACAGGGAAATAGCACAATCTTTTTTAAATATGCATGTTTTAATGTCCTTTAACACATGACAGAAAGTATGTGGAAAGAGAATTATTCAAGCCTGATGAAGTGCCAGAAAGACATAACCTGTCCTTCTTCCCCACTGTGAATGACATCAAGAACCACATTCATGAAGTGCAGAAGTCACTGAGGAATGGCAAGATAGTGTATAATTCAGAAAATATCCCAGCAACGGTATGTTGGCCTTTGTGTGTCTTGTTTATTTTTGGAGTTAAATACTGGAATTCTTATTTTTAGTTTTTACTGCTTAGCTGTGTTTCATCCAAAGTTGTCTGTGATTTATATTTCCATCAGCACTGTTTTCAGTGGAATCTCTGGCTGAGTAAGATTGGATTAAATGTTAATAAAATGTCCTGGCCTTATTCAGTATTTATCCCATCAGCATTAGATTGCTATTAGTTGATTGACAAATTATACAGTGCTAGCACTTCATGATGCCTGCATGAACTGGAAGCCATGTGGTGCAGAAAAATTGACACGCATCAGAAAATCTTATTCATGGTTTTGTCATTGTCTGTGTTTTGGAGAAGTTACTAGTACTTTTTCATATCTGAAAAATAGGGATCACTCTAAATGAGGGCTTGCACAATATTTTGAATGTGTAAATATTAGTAACTGCAATTCATAGCGAGTGAAGTAAGCATAAAGTAGATACTTCAAAATGCTCAGTAACTCTTATGTGTTGTTCTTTAATTTTCTTCAACCTATTGAGTAATAAGGGATACAGAGTGATTCTAGTTTTCCCAGTTATGAGGTTGACTGCTAAGGAATTACTTATTTAGAATCAGCTTTGACAAACCGTACTGTTAAATCATGCTGTGTCATCAGTCTTTTCCCTCTCCCTACACTGCTCTTGGTCCAGGTGAGTGAGTGATACTTGTTGTTAGCCAAATGGTTTGACCCTTTTCTGTTTTAAAGTCTTTGAACTGTCATGATGAGTTAAGTGTTCCTGGTATAGTGCATGTTAAAAAAATCTTAGTTTGGTTTGGGTTGGTTTTTGTTTTGTTTTGTTTTTTAAATAAAAAAAATCATAAACCAAAATGCATAGTTCTAAGAAAATAAAAAAGCGTAGTTTAGGCACTGTTTTCTAATGGGTCCTGCACTGAGCCTGTGTTCCTCTAGTATGCAAACTTGCACCCTTTCAGAGGTCTGAGATCTGAGATCTTTTTCCTTTCAGCTGCAGTGGACCACAGACAGTGGGAATGTTCTCACAGAAACAGTGACTGTTACGTTTGCCTCACCACCTTCAGATGGTAGGATTGCACTGAGAACTTTCCTGTCTCCAAAATGTGATTTGTTTTATTAGCTATGTCACACAAGTTCAGTTTCCTTCCGGAGAGGTTGCTGTCATGTTCTGTCACTCTGGCGAACTTAAAAAGGATTATTTTGCTGCTTGATGCAGCAAGGTGGAAGAGCCTAATTTCTTCATACATTAAAGATAGTGCTGCAGACTTCTTAGATGTTTTCAATCTCAGCAGCACTGCCAGCTTGTTTCCCCATTTCATTGGAATATGGTGCTGGGTACTTTTTCTTCCAAACAGCTGATAGAGATGTCTGCAGGGACCAAAGGGGCACTGCCACAGTAGTCATGTTTAAAGATTTACTTGAGTCAGCAGTTATCCTTCACTGTGGTTCTTGTCTGAGTAAGTCCTGATGTTTTTAGGTAGCTTTGCCCTTTGGCCCCTGTCAGTCCCTGATGTATTTCTTATCTTTGTTGTAGCAGGAAAACTAAACCCCCAGAGGTTTGGCTCACTGTGTGATTTCTCCTAAATGACTCGGTGAACTTGATTTATGTGCAGCAGTTCCGTGTACACCAGTGTATTTACAATTAATTAAAGGGCCAGTGTTGGCCTTTGCTTTGTTTGGGGTTTTTTATCATTTATTTTAGCTGTTGCTGCAGTGGATCAATTCGAACTGAAAAGCATCATGTATGCTTGGTGCTCCTAGGGTAAGAATTACAGTGTTGACAACTGTCAGAGGACAAGAGGTAAATTTTTAGGGTCATTTGGAATAGTGTCCCTCTTTTTAGGGAAGTCATCGTTTTTAGGAAGAAAAGGAATTTGTAAAGTGAGCAGACTTACTGTCCTTAAGCTTGCATGTCTGTTAATATTTCCATTACTGTGCTGTGTCTTCAACAGCTGTGATAGATTTCAGCAGGGATGAGTTCTGGTATGTACTGCCTAAATGCTGGAGAAGGTTCAGAGAAGGTTCAGAAAGACTGATTCTTGCTTTCATGATCTTTCACAGATAATTTTCTAAGGCAAAGTAGCCTATCAGATATGTAAATATTCATCCAGTGATACACTTAGTTGTAAAGGAAGCCAGAGAATTGGATTTGTTTAGTATTCTGCATGTGTGCACCGATTCAGTAAATATAAGCAGATTTTTTTATTCCAACATACCTTGTCTCCACTTAAATGTGTGTGGGGGGGTGTGTACACATTGCAAAAACATGTTTATATTGGAAGGCAAATCTAAGCAAACAAATAAACCTGACTGAAAAAAATCAGCTCTCATTAATGTATGTGAAGCAGTAGCAAGGAAAAACACTGACTTTTCAAACTACTTTTTGTATTTTTTTTTTTCATTTCAACTTGTGCCAAACAGTGACAAATTTACATTTTAAAAAATCAAACAATAACAGAACTAAATCCAGCTGTTTGTTTTCTTCTTGTGCAGAACTCCGTATCTCCATGTGATACAGCTTTCACTGTTCTCTCCCAGGTGTAATAATCGCTGTAAATGTCAAACTTGTGTTCCTTTTTACATCTTTTATGACAACTGAGATAAAGTACCTGCATATATATATTCATTATTTTTTAATTTCTGGCATTCATACGGAATGGCTGTGCAGTGTAAGGAGTGGGTAGATTAGGAGTTGAACTATTAGCTTTATTTCTAGGCATGTTGGTATAGAATACAACTTAAGGAGAGAACTACCAGCTCTTCCTGTATGTGAATATTCAAATATGTGTATAGAGTCTCTTATGAGATGATACTAAGACAAACTTAAATATTTGAACTAATTGTCTTAAAGGAGATTAGTAGAGTGTCGGTTAGGAGATTAGTTAGAGTGTCTAGTGGTCGGTTACAATTAGGCATGTTGGTATAGAATACAACTTAAGGAGAGAACTACCAGCTCTTCCTGTATGTGAATATTCAAATATGTGTATAGAGTCTCTTATGAGATGATACTAAGACAAACTTAAATATTTGAACTAATTGTGTTAAAGGAGATTAGTAGAGTGTATCTAGTGGTTGGTTACAATAAAGAGAGTTTGCAAATCAATAATATGTTGAAAAAATGTCTCCACTTACAGAGATTGCTGGAAACTTTTCTGTGATTTCCCGCTAGAAAGCTTTTTGCAATTGACCTTTCTCAGTCTTATTTTCTGTTCACCACGCTAATCTGTATGCACAGGGCAGGCTCTTGTTTTACTGCTATAGCAAACGGCAAAATAAGAGGCTAAGCAATATCTACTTTTGTCTGGATAAATCTTCTTCAAAATGTTCTGAGTGGCTCAAACAGGAAATGGGATGATCCCATGGGAAGTTTTCTTCCAGAAATTGCTACAAGTGAACCTCAATTTTTACAAATCTTCAGGAAATGAAGTCTGTCATTCTTGTATTAAATAAGAATTTTGAGGATATTATGTAATCTATAGGCTGAAAGGCCTCCAGATAAATGGATTTTTGGTGTGATACTGCGTAGAAGTTATCCTAATTCCACAAAGATGTTTGGAAGCGAGTGGTGAGACTTAGAGGATTTCCTGTGTTGATTTTTACGTTGGAAGACAACACTTTCTTTTGATGCCTGTTACTGAGCCCTTACTAAGGTGTACGTGTTGTCAAATTACTTGATTTATATTTTGATATAAGTGCTTCAGCTTTTATGTTATAACTAGAAATTCATAAAACAGGCTAGGGTGCAGATTTATTAAATCTGAACAGCCACGTACAATCTTCCTGCACCATTGTCTTTTTCTCATGCCCAGCCTTTTTTCTTTAGCATCCAAATTCATCTGCAAAGAAAACAGCATCTATGTATATACATGTCTTCTATATGTCTGTTCTGAGATTGAAGGGGTTTGTTCAGTTCACAGGGGAGGCTTTTAAAAGGGAAGAACAGCTTTGTCGTAACTGTCTGCTTCCTTTCTGTGACACTGTAGGGAGCTTGGCAGGGGAGTCAGTTGTCACCAAAGCAGAATCCAGCCAGAGTGGGGAGTCTTTGCTACCAGACACAGCTCGGCTGTTGTCTTCGCTCTCTTCAATTCAGCCCAAGATATTTGCACAACTTCAGGTACAGTCAAGTTGTTTACAGAATGTCAGACCTGTGCTGGGAATGCTGAAGGCAAGCTGAGAACAGGAAGTTTCCTCTCAGCTAATGATCCCTAACACTGGCTAGGTAACACAGACTTTTATAGCTGTCAGCTCCTACTTTCACCACTCCTGCGTGTCATGTTTAGTATATGGCAGTGGTGCAGGGGATCCCACTACTGTCTTTTGACACTTTGTAGTGTTAGGGTCTCATGTGAAGACAAAACCAAGAAGATGAAGGTAGTGGGCTTCTGCCTCAAACCAAGGACTTCTTCATTTTCCATATGGTCCAGTCATTTCATAAGGAAAATGCTGCAAAACTGAGGGGAGATAAGTCAGTCTTATTTATTCCTTTTAAATCTTCTTCCAGCCTCTTAAGAAAATAATTTTAAAATCTTAAAACTAGTCCCAGGTTAGATCTGTAAACTTCCAGGCTGAAAGGCTGAATGAAGTGGGGGGATAAGAATGTCATGCTGAAAGAGCTTCTACTAAAGCTAGCCTCCCTTCAAAGCTGGCTCTCTTAGCCTTCTTCTCTAACTACTTATTTGAAAAGCTACTTTCGTAGTTCCTGAACCCCAATGAAATGCATGATCTTTTCCCTAGAAATACAGTCTGCAGTAAGATGCTGTTCTTCGTGCTGTTTCCTTCTCTTTCCGAAGACAGCCCGGCTCCACTTCACTCTGTTTTTTAGGGCAGTATGTTTAGCTTTTAGTGCCCACCTCTTGTGGGAATGGGCAGAATTGGGGAATGTTTTGAAACTGAATATCAAGGCAAAATTAGAGCTTTATGATCATAAGTACTCATCTAGATGCTGCTGAATACCATTGTCCTAATTGTTTTCTAATACAACCTTAGCCTAGGTTGCTGGGGTTGACTGTTAGAAAGAGATGATGTATAAGAAGTCAGAAGCTATCCAGTTCCAGCTTTGCAAAAGATGTGACATTAAATGCAAATTCCTCCTGCTGTAAATACTGGTATGTAAATACTGTATGTTCTTCTGCTTTCTCTTTCACAGGGATTACAGCTGCAGTCAACTTTCACCTCCATAAATGGATCAACAGCCGTGATAGCTGTAAATAACCATTCCCCTCCCAGCCCTGCAAGTCTCCTGGATTCCATAGGGAGTGCAGTAACCAACCATTCTCTAGTGCTTTTTCAGGGACATGGTCTGCAAGCAGGTGCTGAACTAACACAGCATAGCACTGCTGCCTCTGCTTCTGAAACTCTGCCTGGCTCTTCTGATCAGAGTCTGTTCACCATGGGCCAGTTGGTAGCAGTTGGAGGAGTAGATGACTCCAGGAGCCTGGAAGGAGGAGTCCATCAGATTCTCTTGGGAGATGTACAGACAATTCCAGTACAGATTGTGGAGAGCCATCCAGCACTTAGTAAGTTACAGTCTTCCCACTAATGTGTAACTATAAAAAATATGATGGATTTTGTTCCAGGTCATTCAGTTGCCCCGTGGAACACCACCGCTTTTTCAAGTTTTGAGTAATTTGAATAGTATTGAAATGGCCCATTTTGGTCAACATTTTTGAAGGTCTTCTACAATTTAATTCCTTAGCTTTAGAATGTGGATCACAAGTTTGCTTTTCTCCTTGAGACCCTCAACTATTACAGCACTACAGAGACTATAGAATTTGCCAGCTCCAAGACCACAAAATCCAACGGCAAAGTGTATCAATACAGCAATGGTTTTATGACAGAATGAAGGTCCAAGATGCTTAATTTCAAAGTGATGAAGGATGTGGATGCTTAAGAAAATGCAACTTTGACCTGATCATCATGTTAATGATGTGAAGATTAAAGAGAGGAGAAAGGTGAGGTTGCCAGGTGGATGTAAGTTATCTGATGAAGAAAAGTGTGAATGTTTTCAACTTTGGCATCTTTGAACTTGCTTTTGGGCTTTATCATGAGGTTCACTGCCTGCATGCAGCCTTTGCGGTGGTATGGTATCAGCCAAAATTATTAACTTATTAACTGAATTATTAGCAGTAGCTTATTAACTGAAAGCAGTCTTGTCTCATGGAAAATTATTGATGCTGCCATTTCAGCTTATCTACATTTTGCTTTACGCACTTACACTGTCGGCTCAGATATGTATGATTTGACCTGCTGCTGTTCCAGATGTAGAGCTTATGAATATATTACTAACAAAGAAAGGCCCAAGAAAACAAAGCAGGTAATATAAATCCAAGCAATATGTGGAAGTGTGCTGTCACTGTAATACTCAGAAAACAAACTCATATTTTTCAGCAGTAGCAGCTTCAAAGTTTTAAGTGGTCCGTATTGCTAAAAATAATTACCAGGAATCTTTGAAAAACTGAATGTGATAAAGAAATACCTTTTAGCAGTATTTAAGCCAAAGCCATAATAAGTGACAAGCATGAGTTACTTAATGTGCAACAGACGTGTTTCTTTAAGAAAAACAATAAACCTACAAATAACTCAGAATCCATATGAAGCAGTTAATGGGATAAAACTGATGCCAACATAGATATCAGGTAAAACAATTACATTGTTTGTTTCAGACGAATTCTTAGAGGAACATTCTGAATATTTTGTATACAGCAATATCAGCAGTTCTGTTATTAGTTCCAACTGAGTGGTTGAGAGCGTGATCATTAAATTAGGTATTTTTTCTGCATGCTGTATAAGAATGCAGTCTGAGAACTTAATATTTTTCAGACTTGAAAAAAGGAGAAGAAAACAAAAAGGGAAAAGATTAGTTCATTTGTGTAGAAGAGAAAGTGTTAGGAATATTGTATGAATGGAAAGATGGAAAATTTAAAATTGTTACATTAGTTAACATACATTCAAGGCATTCACAAACATCATCTAAATAGTGGCTATTTAATATTAAAAGTTAATTTTCCTTTGAGGATTTAAAGCTAAAACTTTCAAAAGTCTCACATTGAAGTTGGGTTCCTAATGCCTTTATATGGAGCATCCGCTTGGTAGATGTTAAAATTAGTTAAAATGTTTTAACTAACGCTGTTAATGCTGTTCATTTAAAGCTAATGTTTATGGGTTAGCTTAAATCAGAATTTTCCAATGGAGTCATGCTCTTATTAAATAAGAGTCAGTATTTTACCATGCAAGTGCATTTAGAATCTCCATTTTTTGGAGTCTCTCATATTTATTTTCCACACTGACTTGTTTTGTGGTATGTCTTACTTGTTTTTGGGTGGGTAAAAATCTCACAGGGTTCACCCTTTGCAGGTTTTTTTGTTGTTAATTGTGAAAATGTGTCCAAAATGGATGTTCTCTGATGCAGTTGTAGTTCTGGAGCACACAGGCAGCAATCACCTTTTCTTTTCCCACTCAGTAACTACATACCAGAATGTGTTCCTCCTTCTACGCTGCTGTAATCAGCAGCCTTCGTTTTTTCTTAGAGTTTAAACAAATGCTTTCTAAGTATATTGCCTTTGTCAATATTACTTTTTTTGTGAGAATTGCTCCTCGTTTTTGAAAATGCTTATTATCAAAAGAATAAATTACAGCTAAAGATTACAAGCAAGAGGTTATTTCAGTTTTAGTTCTGCAAACCAAACAATACATTTGTCGTTGGAGTAAAAGCTTAAGGAAAGAGAAATTACGTTTCCATCAGTTCTTGCTTAGTTCCCTCATTAACAGATCCGTTCTTTAACAGTCGCTGTTCCCACCGTGAGCTACAGTCTCATCCTGTACTGAACAGTATTTCTGATGGTACTTCTGTTTTTGGTTTAGTGCACACAGCTGAAGTAAGTACTCTTTTTAGTCCATCTTGAATTGCAGGCTGTGAAATTAATTTTATAACCTACCTTGATTTGTATGGTACCCTAAAAATGCTAGAAAAAAAAATTGGGAGAAATCTAAAGAAGTGGTAAATAATTAATTGTTTTTAAAAGCTGAGGATGAGAGTTGCAATTTTGTTCATTGAAAAATTTTACTTGAAATGCTTCTTCAGCCAGTACTCACATCTTTGGTTTTGGTTTCCTTCATTTTTGTAGAATTCAGTTCTTTGTCTTCCAGTTACACATTCCAGTTTATTACTGTGTTGTTTTCTAATTTAGTGTAAACTTTCCTCTTGTAAAGAGTATGTTCACACTTGGTTTATGCATGACCTCATTACCCATATCTAGTCTCTGTATTCAGCTTAACACCTTAGTTGACTAATCACCACCTAAATTTTACACAAAAGACTCTTATTATGTATGTGGTAAAAAAGTAAAGAATACCACTTTCAATGCAGCTAAATTTGTTTGAATAGAATACTCGAGGCTGATTTTGCAGAGAAAGCTAAGTAGCTTGAAGCAAAGTAGTTGGTTATTACTTTGAGTTGGAATTGCAGATGTTGTTCTGATGTTTACTTTGTTTTCTTGTGGTTATATTCAAGCATTTGTTTTGCAAGCCTAGGAATCCTGAGCTTCCACAATACTGCAAATGAACAAATGGTTTTCCAGTTAATCCTCGTTGTTGGTTACCCATAACAGTGATTGGTTGGCTTGACAAGAAGGGCTGTGCTTATGCATGCACATGCAAAAATAACTTTTTGCTAAAATGTGGAGAAGATGTAGAAGGGCAGACATACATAGCTCTCGTTCAAGGCTGCTAGCCACCTGGGTGGAAATCAGTAGCATTAATGAGTCTTTTTTTTATGCTGTTCAAAAATCCAGATTTGGTTATGTGATATAAAGATTGTTGTAGTTTGTACAAAATTTAGAGAGACAAATGTCTGTATATGTATATATTTATATAGAAACTTAATGTACAGTATTCCTATTCAAATTTAAACCGCTTTTTGTTTTAAAGTAATGGTCTATGTTGTGCTTATGGGGACTCATGGGGAGAAATACAAGAGCTACTTGAGAGCGGTGGTTTCTGGGGATGAAGGAGAACAAGTAGGACAGCTCCAGGGAGACCAGGTGGAAGAAGGTCCTGAAAGTATGTAAAAAGCAAGGGTCCTGCAGGGAAGGCTGGAGGGGGCTCTGCTGGGGGGTGCTCCAGGGCCCTGGAAAGGCGTTCTGAGCCTGTCACAAAGGCTCAGTGCAGCTCCTGAATCTATGCCAGCAGGGAATAGGGTGAGTTTATTGGTAGGAGTTTAAAGGCTTGGAAGAAAAGGGAAGCCTGTCCTGCCCTCAAAACCAACAGACATGTGTGAGTTTTGGTGAGTACCAGAGGCAGGTAAATGACTTTCTGTAGTCTGAGACACCCATTCTTCTAGCATGAAGAAACTTCTCTTGGAGCTTCAACCCAGGAGCACAGACTCTTTTCCTTTACATGTTACCGATGAAAATATACCTTGTCTTCCCAACTGAATTAACTTGCTGTTGTCCTCATCCCTCTGACTGCAGCTCTGGCTACCTCAAGAACACTCAGTATCCACAAAAGTGTCTCTTCCTCCACTCTTTATTAGGGCTTCCACCCAAGTACCATGCTCTCAGGCCCTCAAATGCTCAATGTTTCACTCTTACACTTGGAGCAGCTGGTAAGTTTGCTGCACAAGTATGAGGAGATATGCTCCTGTCAGTTTTTCTTCCTGTCTCCCCAAGATCCTAAGCCCATATGTTCCTTCTAATATAATTAAGTTTTTTCCTTGCTTGCTTTGCGGCTTATCACCCTTACTTGGATGAGTATCAGGCAAACACATTTCACAGGGCATTTGTTACATTCACAGGAACTGAGAAGACTGAGAAAACAAGGAGAAAATTATAATTTCTGCCAGCTTTTAGGGCTTTATATTGAGAAACTGGCCTCTTTCCTTTCATGCCACTTGAGTTCCTGATTCTGGCTGTGGCTAGTAGCTGGCTGCTGATTGTCTGTCTGTTGGCAAACTTGATGTTTGCTCGCTTAAGCCTATTCAAAGAGGTAAGCTCTCAGAAAGTTAGGCTGGAAGAATCTGTGATAGAAAATGTGAAATAGCTGAAGATGGTTCTGTGAAAAATTACTGCTCTTCTCTGATGAGAAAATTCTCCTTGGTCTGCCCTTCCCGTATAAACAGAGCTTTTGTAAGAATAAACTTCAGAGCCTAGCCATCAGTAATTATCTTCTTCAAGCAACATTGCACCTCACTAATGGATGAAGGAAGTGTTGTGTAAAACACACTGTGTTGATTTTTTTTAGGTCAGAAGCTATCCAGCAGCTCTACCCAACAAGCATCAACCAAGGTATGATTTGGAGGGGAAGGCAAAAATGTCATCATGACAGGAGTGTATGTAGGTTTATTTGTGTTTTTTTTAGTCCCAGTGTAAGCTGTTACGCCCTAGTATCTCATTGCATTTCAAATGCATGTGACAAATGACATGTTGATTTTTTGAAGTGATCTAATGTGTTTTCTGGAGCTTCTTCAAGGGAGTAATCATAAATAGTACTGCTGTATCATAGAAAGTATTAGTGGGTGTTTGTCATCTAGGGCCCCAGCCTGTTCTAATACAGAAGGGATTTAGAAAACATGGAATGCTTTCTGAGGACAAATACTGAGTCTGCTTATCCTAAGGAGTCTTCCCTGGTCAGAAAATTAGGAGCACTGGATGCTGTGAGAGTAGTTCTCAACAGTAATCTGTCAGCCTGCACTAGATAGAAGAAAACTTGTGAAAGGCATGCATATGATTACCTCCCTATGAAAAAAGGTACCACTGGATGCTTAATAGTTTTAATATATATATGCGTAAGGGATTCTATGTATCTTGAGGGGGGAAAAAAGGGAAAAAAGAGAATGGAGGCATGAGTATGGTTGTTTGCACGTAGTTCTTTAATACAGTTTTAATTACACTTAACTGTGGTTACATGATGCAAATACTTTAGGGCACGTATAATCGGATCTTTAAATGTAGATAATTGGAATTCATATTTTTACTGCCATCCTTGTCTCTCTGCAGTGCAGCTTGGTCATTTGGCATGTACTAGGCTTCTGCTAATGACAGTCTGCCTGTTTAAACAAGAGCGTGCTGTTCTAAGCAAACTAAATTTCTTGCTCTTTCTGATCTTTTTTCTAAAAGATTGATAAGGCTCATAGGAGAATGAAAATCCGTGTAATATAGTGATTTCATGAGAGTTAATTTCTGGATCCTCAGTATGAAGGAACCAGGGAGCCCAAACTGACATACTATTGGCCCTGGCATTTGGTCATTTTTCTGATGTACTTGGATTTCTACAGTGGGACAGTGCCAATACAGCATAAGTTACTGCTAAAATACTTGTAAAATTTTAGCTCTGTCCTTTGGTTAAATATTGATAGTTCAGTGGCCCCAGGAAAGATCAGAGACTTGGTGCTTGGTTGGTTTTTTTTTAATAGTCTGTTTCTAGATACTATTTAGAATGTAATTAGGTATGGCAATCAGATGGCAGCAGAAGAGCCAGAAACAGAGATGTGTGTTGGCAGATCATTAGGAGAGGGGGAGGAGTTCAGTCCCAGTGTCCTCATTCCTGACTAACTTTCTCTGTGCTAGTCCTGTGCACACCTTGAGAAACAGTGATGATTTGTCTTTGTGTTCTGACATAGCTGCTATTTCTGCTTGCCTACTCAAGAAGCTGTGCAAGTCTGCAAGAAGATCATGAAGAACGTGTGTAAGATCTTATGGGAGGACCTGCAGGAACGGATCTAAGGAGACTAAAGGCTGATGACGTGATTTCTATAGGGCCCACATTCTTTGGTGGGAGGAAGAGGATTTTTTCAATAGAGAATAAAAGTAAATCTTCCTCTTCCAAAGTATTAGGATTACTGTGTCTCTCTGATCTGCTTGACAAGATGCCTAGTGTTTGGACACATCTCAGATCTCAATTTTATAATGAGTATGTACCAAAATGTTATTGAATACTTACCCATGCATTGCCACCTTTGTGTGTCATACTGAAACTGTAGGCCAGTGAGGCATCCCGATCTTTGTATTGTCAGTGTATGTTTTCTTAAAGTAAATAAAGCTTGTTTTATAAGGAAACAGTGGACAGCTTTTGTCTGAAGTCTTTTCAGATATATGCTTTTTACAGAGTAAGCTTTCATTTAGTGGATAATGTATTTCTGCAGGAATTTCTTATGAGGAAATATTGGTGTATACTTCTAACTCTGTGATAACCTAAAACAACCAAAGCCTTTTCAAGTCTTTATTTTCTTTTTATCCAGAACAGGAAGCATTCCAAACTGTCCTTCAAAACCACCACGTTCATGAGCCTTAAAGGTTTGGTGCTTTGTTCCTTTGTGGATGATCTTCCATCTATGCTGCAAATCGCTGTGTTCAGAGCCTTCTACACAAAAAAACCCAGCAATAATAGAACCAAACCCACACAGGGGAAGGGTTGGGGTGGAAAACAGGGGTGACACCAGAATCCTTACCTCCTTTCCCATCACATGAGGGCACTTCCTTTTCATTTGCATAATCTGACTTGGTCTCTTCACAGCCTGTCAATAACAATGTCTGCAAACCCTAGTTTTGTTGATGGGGTCGCAATCACGACGAGAAAAACTTATCTACGCAGTTGCAGATAAGCAGGCCCTTCTTTATTGCAGCACTGGGGATGCACAGAGGCTAGCTCCTCTAATTGTGCTCCGAAGTCTATACATTTTCACAGCTCATTTATACGCTTCTAACAAAGCGATTTTACAAGGTTATACAAGTGTGCATAAAATGTCCGCTTTTTAATTTGCCCTTTACCGTGATTGGTTTGGCATGCAAAATGAGAAAAGCTTTGCCTTATCACAACTATTTTACGTTTGGTATGTACCTAGGAGACCGCGGTACCAGGGATCCAGCCTCTCGGACCAGAAATACCGTCCATCAGCACCTTTACCACCAGGTTCTCCCTTATCCCCCTTTGGTCCAGGGCTTCCAGAAGCTCCTCTTTCTCCTGGCATTCCCTGTAAGCCAGGCACCCCTGGTACGTACCTTCTCTAACCACTTATACATGTATATCTTGTAGTTTTAACTTTGCAATTTAAGTGAATACCTACTTTAACTACTTTAATCAATCAAAATGTTTTCTCGACTACAACATTTTCGTTATAAACATATGCATTGCATCAAGTCTAGATATGACAAACTTTCTTTGTGCTTGGAATTTTGTATTGGTTTAGTGAAACCAATGGTGTCATAAATGGTCAAGAACTGACAGGGCCTTCAGCTGTGAATTTGGTCTTAATCTGAGCTCTGACCAAGCTAGGGAGAAATTCTGAGGCTGTGCCCATGCGTTCTACAGTACTTGTTGAAGGAAGACCTTCAGTTTCCTCCAGCTCCCAAGAAAAGCTGCATTTGTTTCTACCTGATGCAGAGTTGCTCATGTTTATCTCCTCAAGGAGAGCTTGTGGAATTCTGCTTTCCAGCTTGAGGGAAGGTGGAGGTCTCCCTATGTGAAAGCTTGATGGACAGTGTACATAGTCTGAGTGAGTTGGGAGCAACCTACCCTCAAGCATGCTGTAATTTAAGCTGTGTTAGGAATGGGAGCTGGTAAGAAGAATAAGGAACTGAAGAAAATAATGGTAAAAGAAGGCATTCTTGCACTTTACATAGTACTCTCCTCACGTGATACATTTTCTTAAACATTTTGATAGAAACACTGGTCAGCAGTGGGAGGAAAATAAACCTCAATTTCAGCCCTCCCCACAACTTAGTTTAACAGTGGTTTCACTAATTAGCCACAAATTTGGCCTAAATAAAAAATACCTTCTAGCCTAGATCTAAGTGTGCAGTGTTTAATTCCCAAAAGACTATGCTAAAAATTCAGTTGTCCTTTGTCAGGTCATTGTTCTTTTAGACACAAACTTTTTCTTACAGATGTTTCTCTAAAATTAAATGGGAGAGAGAATTGGAAATTGATATTTCTTACAGATGACACTGCAGTCTTCTGAAGCTTGCAGGTGTTTCCTCCTTGGCTTCTACTTTTAGCTCTTAGTTCACTATGTGTTGGATGTTTTCTCAGGATCACTTACCTCAGAGTGCTCCAGATAACTGGCA